ATGGTGGCAGGTGCATGGTGGTAGGTGCATGGTGGCAGGTGCATGGTGGTAGGTGCATGGTGGCAGGTGCATGGTGGTAGGTGCATGGTGGCAGGTGCATGGTGGTAGGTGCATGGTGGCAGATGCATGGTGGTAGGTGCATGGTGGCATGTGCATGGTGGTAGGTGCATGGTGGCAGGCAGGTGCATGGTGGTAGGTGCATGGTGGTAGGTGCATGGTGGCAGGTGCATGGTGGTAGGTGCATGGTGGCAGGTGCATGGTGGTAGGTGCATGGTGGTAGGTGCATGGTGGTAGGTGCATGGTGGTAGGTGCATGGTGGGTAGGTGCATGGTGGTAGGTGCATGGTGGCAGATGCATGGTGGTAGGTGCATGGTGGCAGGCAGGTGCATGGTGGCAGGTGCATGGTGGTAGGTGCATGGTGGCAGGTGCATGGTGGTAGGTGCATGGTGGCAGGTGCATGGTGGTAGGTGCATGGTGGTAGGTGCATGGTGGTAGGTGCATGGTGGTAGGTGCATGGTGGGTAGGTGCATGGTGGTAGGTGCATGGTGGCAGGTGCATGGTGGTAGGTGCATGGTGGTAGGTGCATGGTGGCAGGTGCATGGTGGCAGGTGCATGGTGGTAGGTGCATGGTGGTAGGTGCATGGTGGCAGGTGCATGGTGGCAGGTGCATGGTGGTAGGTGCATGGTGGTAGGTGCATGGTGGTAGGTGCATGGTGGCAGATGCATGGTGGTAGGTGCATGGTGGCAGGCAGGTGCATGGTGGTAGGTGCATGGTGGTAGGTGCATGGTGGTAGGTGCATGGTGGTAGGTGCATGGTGGTAGGTGCATGGTGGCAGGTGCATGGTGGTAGGTGCATGGTGGTAGGTGCATGGTGGCAGGTGCATGGTGGCAGATGCATGGTGGTAGGTGCATGGTGGCAGGTGCATGGTGGTAGGTGCATGGTGGCAGGTGCATGGTGGTAGGTGCATGGTGGTAGGTGCATGGTGGCAGATGCATGGTGGTAGGTGCATGGTGGCAGGCAGGTGCATGGTGGTAGGTGCATGGTGGTAGGTGCATGGTGGTAGGTGCATGGTGGCAGGTGCATGGTGGTAGGTGCATGGTGGCAGGTGCATGGTGGCAGGTGCATGGTGGCAGGTGCATGGTGGCAGGTGCATGGTGGCAGGTGCATGGTGGTAGGTGCATGGTGGCAGGTGCATGGTGGTAGGTGCATGGTGGCAGGTGCATGGTGGTAGGTGCATGGTGGCAGATGCATGGTGGTAGGTGCATGGTGGTAGGTGCATGGTGGCAGGTGCATGGTGGCAGGTGCATGGTGGTAGGTGCATGGTGGCAGGTGCATGGTGGTAGGTGCATGGTGGTAGGTGCATGGTGGTAGGTGCATGGTGGCAGGCAGGTGCATGGTGGCAGGTGCATGGTGGCAGGTGCATGGTGGTAGGTGCATGGTGGCAGGCAGGTGCATGGTGGCAGGTGCATGGTGGCAGGTGCATGGTGGTAGGTGCATGGTGGCAGGCAGGTGCATGGTGGCAGGTGCATGGTGGCAGGTGCATGGTGGCAGATGCATGGTGGTAGGTGCATGGTGGCAGGCAGGTGCATGGTGGCAGGTGCATGGTGGCAGGTGCATGGTGGTAGGTGCATGGTGGTAGGTGCATGGTGGTAGGTGCATGGTGGCAGATGCATGGTGGCAGGTGCATGGTGGTAGGTGCATGGTGGCAGGTGCATGGTGGCAGGTGCATGGTGGCAGGTGCATGGTGGCAGGTGCATGGTGGCAGGTGCATGGTGGCAGGTGCATGGTGGTAGGTGCATGGTGGCAGGTGCATGGTGGTAGGTGCATGGTGGTAGGTGCATGGTGGCAGGTGCATGGTGGTAGGTGCATGGTGGCAGGCAGGTGCATGGTGGTAGGTGCATGGTGGTAGGTGCATGGTGGCAGATGCATGGTGGTAGGTGCATGGTGGTAGGTGCATGGTGGTAGGTGCATGGTGGTAGGTGCATGGTGGCAGATGCATGGTGGCAGGTGCATGGTGGCAGGTGCATGGTGGCAGGTGCATGGTGGCAGGTGCATGGTGGTAGGTGCATGGTGGCAGGTGCATGGTGGTAGGTGCATGGTGGTAGGTGCATGGTGGCAGGTGCATGGTGGTAGGTGCATGGTGGCAGGCAGGTGCATGGTGGTAGGTGCATGGTGGTAGGTGCATGGTGGTAGGTGCATGGTGGTAGGTGCATGGTGGTAGGTGCATGGTGGTAGGTGCATGGTGGCAGATGCATGGTGGTAGGTGCATGGTGGTAGGTGCATGGTGGTAGGTGCATGGTGGGTAGGTGCATGGTGGTAGGTGCATGGTGGCAGGTGCATGGTGGCAGGTGCATGGTGGTAGGTGCATGGTGGTAGGTGCATGGTGGCAGGTGCATGGTGGTAGGTGCATGGTGGTAGGTGCATGGTGGCAGGTGCATGGTGGCAGGTGCATGGTGGTAGGTGCATGGTGGCAGGTGCATGGTGGCAGGTGCATGGTGGCAGGTGCATGGTGGCAGGTGCATGGTGGCAGGTGCATGGTGGCAGGTGCATGGTGGTAGGTGCATGGTGGCAGGTGCATGGTGGTAGGTGCATGGTGGTAGGTGCATGGTGGTAGGTGCATGGTGGCAGGCAGGTGCATGGTGGTAGGTGCATGGTGGTAGGTGCATGGTGGCAGATGCATGGTGGTAGGTGCATGGTGGTAGGTGCATGGTGGTAGGTGCATGGTGGGTAGGTGCATGGTGGTAGGTGCATGGTGGTAGGTGCATGGTGGCAGGTGCATGGTGGTAGGTGCATGGTGGCAGGCAGGTGCATGGTGGCAGGTGCATGGTGGTAGGTGCATGGTGGTAGGTGCATGGTGGTAGGTGCATGGTGGTAGGTGCATGGTGGTAGGTGCATGGTGGCAGGTGCATGGTGGCAGGCAGGTGCATGGTGGCAGGTGCATGGTGGCAGGCAGGTGCATGGTGGCAGGTGCATGGTGGTAGGTGCATGGTGGTAGGTGCATGGTGGCAGGTGCATGGTGGTAGGTGCATGGTGGTAGGTGCATGGTGGCAGGTGCATGGTGGTAGGTGCATGGTGGCAGGTGCATGGTGGCAGGTGCATGGTGGTAGGTGCATGGTGGTAGGTGCATGGTGGCAGGCAGGTGCATGGTGGCAGGTGCATGGTGGCAGGCAGGTGCATGGTGGCAGGTGCATGGTGGTAGGTGCATGGTGGTAGGTGCATGGTGGCAGGTGCATGGTGGTAGGTGCATGGTGGCAGGTGCATGGTGGCAGGTGCATGGTGGTAGGTGCATGGTGGTAGGTGCATGGTGGTAGGTGCATGGTGGGTAGGTGCATGGTGGTAGGTGCATGGTGGCAGGCAGGTGCATGGTGGCAGGCAGGTGCATGGTGGCAGGTGCATGGTGGTAGGTGCATGGTGGTAGGTGCATGGTGGCAGGTGCATGGTGGCAGGTGCATGGTGGTAGGTGCATGGTGGCAGGTGCATGGTGGCAGGTGCATGGTGGTAGGTGCATGGTGGTAGGTGCATGGTGGCAGGTGCATGGTGGCAGGTGCATGGTGGCAGGTGCATGGTGGTAGGTGCATGGTGGTAGGTGCATGGTGGCAGGTGCATGGTGGCAGGTGCATGGTGGTAGGTGCATGGTGGTAGGTGCATGGTGGCAGGTGCATGGTGGCAGGTGCATGGTGGCAGGTGCATGGTGGTAGGTGCATGGTGGCAGGTGCATGGTGGCAGGTGCATGGTGGCAGGTGCATGGTGGTAGGTGCATGGTGGCAGGTGCATGGTGGCAGGTGCATGGTGGCAGGTGCATGGTGGCAGGTGCATGGTGGTAGGTGCATGGTGGCAGGTGCATGGTGGCAGGTGCATGGTGGTAGGTGCATGGTGGCAGGTGCATGGTGGCAGGTGCATGGTGGTAGGTGCATGGTGGCAGGTGCCTGGTGGTAGGTGCATGGTGGGTAGGTGCATGGTGGCAGGTGCATGGTGGCAGGTGCATGGTGGCAGGTGCATGGTGGCAGGTGCATGGTGGTAGGTGCATGGTGGGTAGGTGCATGGTGGCAGGTGCATGGTGGCAGGTGCATGGTGGTAGGTGCATGGTGGCAGGTGCATGGTGGCAGGTGCATGGTGGTAGGTGCATGGTGGTAGGTGCATGGTGGCAGGTGCATGGTGGTAGGTGCATGGTGGCAGGTGCATGGTGGCAGGTGCATGGTGGTAGGTGCATGGTGGGTAGGTGCATGGTGGGTAGGTGCATGGTGGCAGGTGCATGGTGGTAGGTGCATGGTGGCAGGTGCATGGTGGTAGGTGCATGGTGGCAGGTGCATGGTGGTAGGTGCATGGTGGTAGGTGCATGGTGGCAGGTGCCTGGTGGTAGGTGCATGGTGGGTAGGTGCATGGTGGCAGGTGCATGGTGGCAGGTGCATGGTGGCAGGTGCATGGTGGCAGGTGCATGGTGGTAGGTGCATGGTGGGTAGGTGCATGGTGGGTAGGTGCATGGTGGCAGGTGCATGGTGGCAGGTGCATGGTGGCAGGTGCATGGTGGCAGGTGCATGGTGGTAGGTGCATGGTGGTAGGTGCATGGTGGCAGGTGCATGGTGGTAGGTGCATGGTGGGTAGGTGCATGGTGGGTAGGTGCATGGTGGCAGGTGCATGGTGGTAGGTGCATGGTGGCAGGTGCATGGTGGCAGGTGCATGGTGGGTAGGTGCATGGTGGTAGGTGCATGGTGGTAGGTGCATGGTGGCAGGTGCATGGTGGTAGGTGCATGGTGGTAGGTGCATGGTGGCAGGTGCATGGTGGCAGGTGCATGGTGGCAGGTGTATGGTGGTAGGTGCATGGTGGCAGATGCATGGTAGCAGGTGCATGGTGGCAGGTGTATGGTGGTAGGTGCATGGTGGCAGATGCATGGTAGCAGGTGCATGGTGGCAGGTGCATGGTGGTAGGTGCATGGTGGGTAGGTGCATGGTGGTAGGTGCATGGTGACAGATCGACACCACACCCACGCCCTTGACGCACCTGGGCATCGAAGAGAATGAAGCCCCCATCGCTGTACAGGCCGCACCGCCCACCCTGGCACGCCGCCATGAGCGCTCTCAGTGCAATGGCGCCCACTGCATTCGTGAACAGTGCCTTCCACACCACCTTCTTCTTCCACCTGGTTGGACGGGGTTGAGAGGAGTTGGGAGAGGATGAGAGGGGTTGGGAGGGATTGGGAGCAAGGTGCACAAAGGAGCAAGGCAGAACAAAGGTTCGCAGCAGGGGGGGGACAAGCAGCTGTGAGGCGAAGAGCTTGAGAAATAGTGCTTTCAACGCCACCTTTGGTACTAAGATCTGCAGCAGGGCAAACACACGAGAACTAGGGCACGAGTAGAGCAGCATGGGCAACGCCACATGCACACGCCCAGCAGCAGCATGAAGACAGCAACCTTTAAAGCTCGAGCCGTGTTACCAGGGGCTGAAATGTTGTCGTCACAACTGTGTTACCTGAGGTGCAGACACACAAGAGCAGCAACAGCAGCCAGCAGGAGGTGAGCACTGAGTTCCTCGAGGGAGAAGAGAATTCCACCCAGCAGGCACAGGAAGGCTGCCTCACCCACCACACCGGCCACCACTGTGCTACCAGGAGGTGTGGCCGCACAACCAGGAGGTCAAGCCACAGAGGAGCAAACCAGAACAGCAGCAGCACCCACCAGGAGATGAGCTCCTCGAGAGCAAAGAGGATGCCCCCCAACGGGCACTGGAAGGCGGCCGCAACACCTGCCCCAGCAGCACCAATAGTGACGAGGTCGTGGCGCGCTCGGTCGTTGTCGAAGAAGCGCAGCCAGCCCGAGTGGAACAGCTACTGTTGTGTTGGCAGAGACCCAGCCACACAGGAACAGAGCACAGCGGCACCTACCAGGAAGTCAGCTCCTCGAGAGCAAAGAGTATTCCCCCAAGGGGGCACTGAAAAGCCGCCGCCACGCCAGCGCCGGCACCGATGGTGACGAGGTCGTGACGCGCACGGTCGTTGTCGAAGAAGCGCAGCCAGCCCGAGTAGAACAGCCACCACCGCTGCTGCTCCCCCTCCTCTCCACCTCCCTTTCCTCCCCTGGCCGTGCTGGTCTCTGTGGTGCTCTGTGCGAGCAGAGGCTCAGACACTCCTGTCCCTGCTGTTGCTGCCCGCAGCACCCCACCTGCACTTGCCGCACCAAGAACCTCCTTCCCATTCCCACCCGCACCAGCACCCCCGCCGGCACCCTCACCCGCACCCCCAACCACTCGCGCAGCCCTGCGGGCGAGGCGGTCGCGGATGGAGCCGCGGCCGAAGAGAGCAGCTATGGCGGCCCCGATGTGCACCAGAGGGCCCTCCTTGCCCAGCGCTAGCCCGCCTGCCTCGGCGCCCATGCTGCCCAATATCTGCAAGAGAGAGAGGGGAGAGATATGAGAAGGAGTGGCAGCTGTTCAACACTGACTGCGACTCAAGAGTCACTCCGATGTGTACCAGAGGGCCCTCCTTCCTTGCCCAGCGCTAGCCCACCTGCTTCCGCCCCCACTGCTAGCCACTGAGTGGACAAGCACACACTGCAGAGCTGAGGTAAGGACTGGTATCACGGCAACGCAGAACGTGTTTCCTCCAACTTACTCAGGCGGGACAAGATTCGAAATGCCCCTGACTTTACGAGATACTCAACGGGAGACACTGACCACCTTTGACTCATGTTGACCAGGCCGTGACGGGCCTTAACGAGCAGCGTGAGGGACGACGAGAGCACTTGCGGCATGTCAACGCCATTGAGGTAGGCTCGCACTCCTACGCTGGGAAAAATCCCAACAGTAACGAGAGCCACTGACCACCATTGACTCACATTGACCATGCATTGACCAGGCATTGACCATGCATTGACCAGGCATTGACCATGCATTGACCAGGCATTGACCATGCATTGACCAGGCATTGACCATGCATTGACCAGGCATTGACCATGCATTGACCAGGCACTGACCGACCTTAACGAGCAGAGTGAGTGGCGAGAGCACTTGCGGCATGTCAACGCCATTGAGATACGCCCGCACTTCGGGAATCCCCGACCCCGCTGCTGCTGGCGCCACAAACACACACAGCGCTGCCGATGCTGCCACTAGCAGAGCACTCAGTAACGAGTACACTAGCACTGCCAGAAATGGGCTGGGAGGGAAGTAGGGCGCATTGGGAGGGGAGGAGGGTGTATTGGGAGGGAGGGATGCAGGCATTTGGAAAAGGAGACAGGGGAGAACGAAGTGGGGAATTGGTCACACAGCATTGAACACTCAGTCCAATGCGAACGCGTTATATGCACATGCGAGTGCGCACGCACACACACACCCATGTGCCAGAGGCGCATATACACACGCACGTTTACACCCACTCCCATCCAGAATCATGCCAGCACGCACATGCCGCCTTTAAAGCTCGAGGCCCAAACTGCACAAGTCTACTAGACTTGCGCAAGCCTGAGTACTGGGTGTTGCGAGGGGGGCTTGTCTGATCTCGCCCAAACTCTCGCAACGCTTTGGGGTTTTCCCGCTGAGTCAGTAAACTTGCTGGGCCAACGCTTGTTTGGGACGGAGATGTCCCAAATTGCAGGTAGAACAATCTTCAAGTGTCGGTTCCACAAATGCGGTGTGTGTGAGATGCCCATGCCCCAACCAATCAGGTAGCTTCGCACCTCCGTAACTAACCAGAAATTCGCAAAAAAGGGACACCCAAAACGCCAACCGCACTCAAGGTTAGTAAGGCGATTTTTGAGTCGACTCAAAAATCAAGGTTAGTAATCTTGGGCCACGCCATCCGCAATTTGGGCCTCGAGCTCAATGGTGAGTGCGAGTTTCATTCACCCCCATGGCATTCCCCACCACCATGTTGATGAGGACGGCCGCTCCGCACGTGTGCACGATGACGGAGGTGCACATACACACGCACACGCACCTCCCCCCATTAAGCAGTGCGATGGTGAGCGCGAGCTTGACCCCCATGGCATTCTCCACCACCATGTTGATCAGGAAGGCGGCACCCATGTGCACAGAGGTGCATATGCACACAAACACATGCACCGGGTCATGGCAGCACATACCTGCCCCCATTGAGCAGTGCGATGGTGAGCGCGAGCTTGACCCCCATGGCATTCTCCACCACCATGTTGATCAGGAAGGCGGCGCCGCCCGTCATGCACCCAATGAGCAGCACGAGTACCCATTTCGCTGCTGTGTACTCCATCGCCTCTCCCAGCCCCAGCTTATCCGCCGCTCGTGCTTCCTCTGATTCCTCCAGCCTGGGTCAAGGGGGGGGGGGGAGGTGTAGCAGGGTGGAGAGGGGTGGGAGAGGGAGAGGAGAGGGAGGCAACGGGAATCGGTCTGTCAATGCACACAATGAGCAGCACCAGCACCCACTTGGCTGCTGTGTACTCCATCGCCTCGCCCAACCCCAGCTTGTCCGCCGCTCGTGCTTCCTCTGATTCCTCTAACCTGAATGGGAGAGGAAAGCGCGAGAGGGGTGGAGAAGGGAGGGGAAGGGTGGGAGAGGAAGAGGAGGAGAGGGAAGCAAGGGGAGTGGGTCGGTCTGGCATGCAGCGGAGGAGCCCATGAGCCGATGAGGAGCACCAGCACCCACTTGGCTGCTGTGTACTCCATCGCCTCGCCCAACCCCAGCTTGTCCGCCGCCCGTGCTTCCTCTGATTCCTCCAGCCTGGGGTGGGGAGAGGAAGGGATGAGGTGGGGAGGGGGGTCGTGCACCCGATCAGCAGCACGAGCGCCCACTTTGCCGCCATGCACTCCATCGCCTCGCGCAGCCTGTCCGCCGCCCGTGCTTCCTCCGATTCCTCCAGCCTGGGGCCGGGGGGAAGTGGGGGGGAGGAGGGGATAAGGGGGGGTGGGGAGTGTGGGGAAGGCGGAGGGTGAAGTGCGGGGAGGGGCGAAGAGAGGAGGGAACGGGAGAGGAGGTGAGGGAGGCAGGGGGAATCGGTGCGGCAAGCAGGCAATGAGCCACAAGCGGTGGAGAGCGGTAACGAGCGGCGGCAAGGGGAGGCGATGAGCCACGGACGGCCACCAGGCTGCCGTGCTCTTCCCCCTCCCTCACCCTCCCCATTCCCTCTCTCTCCCCCCCCCCCCCAAACCCCTCCCAATCCCCCACGCTTCGCCCCGCCCCGCCCGCTTACTCGTAGTCCAGACTCTGCGCGACGGCGTCGCTCGCGCCCACCTCCGCCGTGTGCTGCGGCGGCTTGCGCTTCGGCGGCTCCCACGGCAGTTGCGTTCCGCCGAACGACCGCGCGCCGATGAGGACGCCCGACCGCGACCGCTGCAGCAGAATCGCGCGCGGGGGAGGCGCGGGGCGCGTGGAGTAGCCGGTTCCGCCTGACGTGGGCGGCGAGTAAGACGCGGACGGGCGCGGAGTGTAGGCAGCGGCGGGGGAACGCGCGCCGCGCGCGGGAGAGGCGGCGGAGGGCCCCTCCGACCCCGAGTCGGAGGAGGCGGTGGGGAGCGGCGGACGACCGCCTACAGTGGCAGAGCGCGGCGGAAGGTTAGGCGACCGCAATGCTGCATTCGCGGGGAGAACGATGGGAGGCGGACCGGATTCTAAATCGGACGGCTGAGATGGAGCACCAGGTCCGGAAGGCGACGCCATCGCGTGACCCACCCGAACAGCTCTTGCTTACGACGAGTGGATATATTAAATAGTTAATCGGCTGCTCTTAAATAGTGGTTCTATTTATATAGTAGTGAAAAACGAGTGTACAGGCAAGGAAAATCAATCATGCGGCAGGAGCACTGCGGCCGAAATGCGGCGCACGATGCAGGCGCGTCCCAGCGACAGCAGTTCTCCTACGGCCTGAATAGCCAGAACCATAGACTTTGACAACAGAAAATGGTTCTTCTCGGGTTCGCTCTGTAAAATTCAATCGGTGCGCAATGGTATAGCGGCAAAGCACTCTTGACCGAATCCGAACGTACTTTATAGTATTGAACCGCGCGATACGAATTTAGAACAAGCACCGCTCCACCTGCTCAAATACAAAGCCACAATTGCCCAGTTCGATCTGAGAAGGGTGCGCGAGGGGGAGGAGAGGGGGGCGGGAGTGCCAACATTGATTGGTCCAGTTTTAGGTTGGGGACCCGCGCCAAGCAGTGTGTGCTCACATCTGCCCTCCTCCAATCAGAGGCGTTCGCAATCGAATGGATAAGCCTAGTCCCGAAAGTTCATGTTCAGTTTAGTGAAAGCGGTTGAGTACGCTTAGATACATTTTGGAGCGGTATGCTCGCTTCACCACTGAGAATTTTCACCAGCCTGAACGTTCATGCATGAACTTTCTGCAACCACGCTCAGGATGTCGTAGAAGTGTTGAATCCATCGCCTCAGGTTCGTTTGAGAGAATTGCTCCAGTGCCTTGTTTGGTGATTCGCTCTTGCCCACGTGTCCCCGAATTGCTCGAGTGGCCATCCAATTCCGTGATAATTGCTCGAGTGGCCATGCCAGGGCATTTTCGAGGTGTTTGTTTTCCCTGGCACATAACCCTACAAGGGTTCATACCTCCGAAATTCCTCGTTCGCACAACAGTAGATGCGCGGTCATTTTCGGCCCAATGCGCGACCAATGAGCGCGCGGGCAATTACATCAGCGATCATAAACTGCAACGCCAGAGCATAAATGCACGAACATATTATTGACCGCGCACGATTGGTCGATAATATGCTTCTTGCCCTTTTTAGCAATGCGCGTCCAATCACGCACGGTCATATAATTCACGACCATATATTTAGGCGATAAAGGGTCGCCCAACAACCAATATGAGCGCGCATATACTACCATTAGTTCTATTATATTTTCGGTCCATATAAAACCATGTATATCAAATGCCATAAATATATTCTCTGCTATTAATTTAAGCCCATCATAACCGTGGTGGCAGCATATTATGCTGGGCTTAAATTAATATTATGCTGCCGAACATATTATTTCTGCAACCATATTACCGGCAATACAATATTATGGACCACGGTATGATGGGCTTAATATTATGATAGGCCACGATATAATATTATTTCTAGTACGACGGGCTTAAATTAATAGCAGAGAATATATGTATGGCATTTGATATGCATGGTTTTATATGGACCGGACATATGATAGAACTAATAGTAGTATATGCGCGCTCATATTGGTTGTTGGGCGAAGCTTTATCGCCTAAATATATGGTCGTGAATTATATGACCGTGCGTGATTGGACGCGCATTGCCAAAAAGGGCAAGAAACATATTATCGACCAATCGTGCGTGGTCAATAATATGTTCGTGCATTTATGCTCTGGCGTTGCAGTTTATGATCGCTGATGTAATTGCCCGCGCGCTCATTGGTCGCGCATTGGGCCGAAAATGACCGCGCATCTACTGTTGTGCGAACGAGGAATTTCGTGGGTACGAACCCTTGTAGGGTTATGTGCCAGGGAAAAAAAACACATCGAAAATGCCCTGGCATGGCCACTCGGGGACACGTGGGCAAGAGCGAATCACCAAACAAGGCACTGGAGCAATTCTCTCGGTTCGTTTTCTAACGCGGTTGTAATACCGTAGGTTCTGTAATTTGGATATGCTAAAAGCGGGATTGCAGTGGTGGCGGATCGATATTCTCCCCGATCGGGCACTGCATCCTCAGGAATAAATTTCCTTCAGTAAAAATCTATGTAGCCATTATCCATAGTAAAAAATACTCCGTCAATACCAACCCGACAGTTGCTTCCATACCAATAATTCATTGAAAAGCGAGGGTGCTTACAACAGTTAGCTTCTAATATCAGCTAAAAAAGAAACTGCATTGCTACCAGCTAAATATACAACCATACAGCGCTCCTATTTACTGGAAAGAAATGTGCAGCCATGAAAGAGCCCCAGGAATCCTCCTCGCCAAGCGTTCCGCTGGTCAACTTGCGTTGGACCGATCCGTTAACGATCTCCTCCACCCTCCCACAGCCATGTTGCAGCCGCTTCAGAAGACACCCCAACCCCTCTCCCTCTGACAAGCAACCCGAGCAACCACAGCAACAAGCCACCATGCTCAGTGACCCACATGGCCTTGTGACAAGCAACTCAGTGGTGAAGCTCTGCTTGCCACGGTTCAGCATCCAAGCGGGTTCATTCCTCGGTGGCATCAGCCATGGCCACGCGCACCAGCGGCTCATGCACGGTCAGCACAACATCAGCCATCTCCTCCACCAGCCTCACCACCGTCGTCACCCCCACTCCCTCTCCTCCATCACCCCTCCCCTCCCCCACCCCCTCCTCACTCCCACTCAGCAGATCCCCAGCGGCAGCCTTCCTGAGTGCAGCCTGGGCGGCCAGCAGAGCTTGCGATTGGCTGACAGGGCGCAGCAGCAGCAGGGCGCGCAGGGCGGCGGCAACAGAGGCGCGCACACGGAGGAAGATGGCGTCGGTGGGGTTCAGCGCTCGCAGCAGCAGGCTGGACGCCAGCGCCTCAATGCCTGCCCTGTCCGGGGAGGCAGCGGCAGCATCAGCTCCTGCTGCTGGGGCTGTCTTGGTGTTGGCTGCAGCGATTACCGCGTCGGCGAGGGCCGAGGCGAGGGCAGCACGGGAGGCGTCGGGGGAGGAGACGAGGCGGGCGAGGGTGGTGCGCGTGGCGGCTACCACGGCCTCCACTGCTGGTGATGGCAGGATGGCACGCGCTGCTAGCAGCTGACGCAGTAGCAGCAGACTGCAGGTAGGGGGGAAGCGGGAGAGGAGAAATGGAAGATAGTTTGAATAAACGGATAGAATTGAAGCAGCTGAGGTTCAAGATACCCTTCTGAGGTGAGGGGGCAGAGATGCAAACAGACAACCACGCACTTGCTAGTCTTCGCTCTCCCATGTCACTCACCCAATGGCCACCACAACGACGCACTGGAACTCGTTCTGGGCGTGCCTCAGCTTGCCCACGTCCAGCCACAGTGCCTCCGCCACCGTGCTGCACTCCGCACCCTCTGCTGACGTCACCACCTCCACCAGCCCCACGCGCACCACACACGCCGCTGCCGCCCAGTCGATGCGGCCATTCCCGGTGCCGCTCGTGCTTGTGCCAGAAGAAGACAAAGTACGTTGGCCGGTGCGGAGGGCGGATGCAGAGGGGAGGGTGGCAGCTGCTGACGATGCTGCTGAGCTGGAAGTGGATGCTGACGTGGCGAGGTACGGTTGGAGCTCGGCTCGTGCCGAGGGGATGGATTGGCTGAGAGAGCTGGCAACCCAGGAGAAAGTGCATGGCAGTTTCTCCTTGATGGTTGAGAGGCAGAGAGCAGGAGAGGACGAGGAGGCAGTGAGGGCAGCAGGGGTGGGGTAGGCGGGCAGGTCGAAACGTTTCGCGAGGGCAGCTTGGAGAGTGGCAGCGGTGGTGGTGAGGGGCGTGAGGCGCGCTCGTGCTGCCGCTATGTCCGCCTTGAGCTCCTGATGGGCGATGCATGGCAGGGGATGGGCGATGCATGGCAGGGGATGGGCGATGCATGGCAGGGGATGGGCGATGCATGGCAGGGGATGGGCAATGCATGGCAGGGGATGGGCAATGCATGGCAGGGGATGGGCAATGCATGGCAGGGGATGGGCAATGCATGGCAGGGGATGTGAGAAGGAGTGCAGACAGGTGAGAGGAAGAAAAGGTGACGAGGTGAAGGGAATGAGAAAGGCAGAATGTGTCATGACGATCAGAGTGTGCCTCTCCTCAACCCTAACCCCCACAGCTCACCTCCAGCCGCTCAAAGGCAAACTTGAGCCCTTTCACCACCGCCTCTGCCATTGAGCGCGCGCCACCTGTCGCCACCAGCGCACCCAGCTCGTCATTGAGCCGTGCCAGGGCGGCACGCGTGGCATCATCCCGGAAGGGCGCACCCAGGCGCAGAGTGAGGTCCGTGGCATAGGCGAGCAGCGATTGTAGACTGTGGAATGCGTCAGGCGTCCCCTGTGTGAGCATCTGTGAGAAGAGGGCAAGGGAAGAGGGGGTAGAGCGGAGCAGTAGGTTGAGGCACAGAGTGAGGTCCGTGGCATAGGCAAGCAGCAATTGCAGACTGTGGAACGCGTCGGGCATTCCCTGTGTGCGCATCTGTGAGGGAGGGGACGGGAGAGAGGGGGTGAAGAGGTGGGTGAGAGGCAGCGGGGGCTATGGGGAGTGCATGGAGAGAAGTGGAGAGGTGTTGCAGCTCAACCCACACAGGGGTACCTAAACCTGCAAGACACTTCGACTGTGCATGGCAGACCTCACCTTGACAAGGTCAGCCTCATCCAGTGTCAGGTTGGCTGTGACCTCATCATGCCAGCCACGAGGTGCAACACCCAGCAGCTCCTCCCGCAGCTCGTCCACCAGGGACACCACACTCAACCAACCACCGCACTGCACCACATTGCACTGCGGATTGATGCTTACCTTCTCAAGGTCAGCCTCATCCAGTGTCAGGTTGGCTGTGACCTCGTCATGCCACTGCCTGGGTGCAACACGCAGCAGCTCCTCCCGCAACTCGCCCACCAGGCGCGCCGCTGCTGCCGTGTCGGGTGGCGAGGCAAGCAGCGAGGCGAGAGTGGCATCCCAGAAGGCGCGGTGCATGGCCGCCTGAGGAGGTGGGGAAGGTGGGAGTTGGTTGGAGGAGTGGGACGGATTGCAAGAGGAGCACGCCGAGGGCAAGAGGAGCACGCCGAGGGCAGAATGCAAGTGACAGTAGAAGGTGCCAGTGGGGCAATCAGGACACAGGAAGTGGTGGGACCGGCACGGAGGCCACACAGAGCCACAAGCACGATGCGATTGTTTAGTCCAACACTTGGAAACAGCCAACAACCACTGTCTAGGGTTTACCAGCTGGATGGCTTGCTCCAGAACGCAGCATTCATGGCTCACCTTCATCCTCGCCTCCAGGTCTCCCCCTCCTTGTGCTGCCAGTTCTCCACCAGCAGTAGAGGCAGCAGCAGCAGCAGCAAGGGTGGAGCTACGGTAAAGGCTGAGGTGCAGCTGTAGCAGCTCAGGGGGGGGTGGAGAGGGACCCACGGGCAGGGCCACCACTGAAGGGCTTGCAGCAGCAGAGGAAGCAGGAGCAGGAGCAGGAGCAGGAGCAGCATGAGGAGTAGAAGTGGGACCAGTGGGGACGGAGGAGCCTGAGGGTTGAGCATCCAGAGGCACGAAGAACGCCCCTGCCCGCATGGGGCTCCCCCCCAGCCCTGCCGTTGCCCCCTGCAGCGCCCCCCGAACCTCCCTCGCAGCCTTGGATGCGTCGTCCGAGCCTGCAGCCAGCGCTGGTTTGGCGGGCGGGAAGGAGAACTGGAAGAGGGAGCGACGGGCCTTGGGGGCTCTGGAGGGAGCAGCGGTAGCAGCAGAGCTGGTGGCTGCTGGTGCACCAGAGGGTGGATTAGCAGTGGCAGTGAGAGTGGGAGTGGAAGTGGTAGAGAGAGGGCTTGGGTTGGTGGGGGAGGAGGAGAGGGAGAAGTGGGTGGGAGAAGAGGTACTCGGCAAGGCACGTGAGAGGGTGAACGGGGAGCAGGCAGGGGAAGGAGTGGCGGAGACAGCGGGGGAGGGGGAGGGTGACGGGGAAGGCGAGGGGGAAGGCGAAGGCGAGGGGGAGGGGGAAGGGGAGGCGGAGGGGGATCCGGGGAGGGTGCCAGCAAGGAATTCTCGTTGGGTGCGGGCGAGGGCCTCGTCCATTCGCGCCACTCCTGATTCTCCAGCTAGTCCTCTCAGCTTGCTGCGCAGCATGGGAATGTCCTTCGCCACCTGGCACCACGGGATTGGTCAGGGAGGGAGAGTGAAGGAGGAGCAGTGGAGTGAGTGGGGGAGGAACGAGTCGGCAAGTGGTGAGGTTTGAGACACAGCTGACTCATGTGGCAGCACAGAGACGAGTGGATCAAACAGAGACGGTCATGTGCGGTCACAATGGGAAGCACACATCTTCCACCGGCTCTTCTTGTGCCAACAATGGGTCCCTCCCAGGCACCAGTTCATTCCAGTCAACAACTCTACCAGGCCTCTCACCTGCTCGCGGATGGCCCTGAGGTCCTCCGAGATGCGCTCGTCGGGGAGGTGGGCAGTACGGCGCAGCATGCTGGCGTGCATCTGGCACGCCATGCTCACCATGTCCGCCTCCATGCGCTCCTTGTCGCGCGCCTGGTGGGTGTGCGTATGGGGTGGGGAGCATGAGGCACATGGGGCGCTTGGGGACCATGGAGAGCGTGGGGCGCATGGATAACGAACATGAGAGGCAGCATTGACCCACCGTAACCCCCAAAAGCCATGCCTCCCAACTGCCGTACCTTCCAGGCAACGAATCTCTCGAGGTAATCCACCCACGCCGCGTCAAACTCCACTAGGTGCTGCGAAAACGGCTTCGCTGCCGCCGCCTTCCTGCCTCCACTAGCAGCGGCGGCAGTAATACCAGCAGCAGCGGTAGCAGCAGGAGCAGCGGCTGGAGAGTCAGACACGGTAGACGCAGCAGAGGCAGAAGCAGTGGCAGAAGCAGGAGCAGCAGCAGAGGGGTTGGGTCGGGTGAGCAGGAAGCGAGCGAGCCCTTCAAACGCCTTCACGAGGGCGGCAGCAGCCACACGCAGGGCGGCCTCGCGCTCGCCCGTGAGGCTCGAGAGCACGGCTTCCGGGTGCAGCACGATCATGTACGCGCACAGGAACACGCGCGGCGGGTACCGCCCCTTCCGCGCGCCCTCTCCGCCGCCCACGGAGGATGTACCTGCGCTGCTCGCCCCTGTTGCTGATGCGGGCTTGGGCTTGCCCGGGGGAGGCGCCACTTGCGCTAACAGGTGGTCGATATCGCACACGCCCGCTGCGCCCGCCGTATTCCCGCCTGCGCCTGGTTGCTTCTGCGGGGACGCGGCCGGGGAAGACGACGGGGTGGTGGCGGGGGAGGGCGCAGGGGAAACGGCGGTGGAGGCGGAAGCGACGGCGGAGGACACGAGCAGGCGCGCGTGCAGGCGCTGCAGGAGCGCGTCGGTGGCGGAAAGGGACGCGGGGGACTGGATGCGCGCGGCCACGAGGGGGAAGGGCAGGCGGGAGAGGCGCGCGCGGCTGACTTGGCAAGCGCAGAAGGCGCGCGCGAGCTCGAGTGTGGTCTTGTTGGCGCCCTTGAACTGGCGCCAGCAGCTGCGGGGGGGAAGGGGGAGTTCGGGGGAGGGTGTGGGGAAGGTTAGACGCTTTGATCAGAAAGGAATTACGCAGGATACGGAAACATGCTAGTTTGGTAAAAAATGGGCGAGAACTGGAACAAGCATTGCATGTGTGGTGTGAGGCGGGTGCGTGGGGCATCCTAATAAGTTGAGAGACCTGCACCAGGCCAGCGCAAACAGCATGCAGGGAGCATGCGGGGAGGGAGTAGCGAGCAAGCAGGGAGCAGGGATCGCGACTCACCGCAGGAGGCGGCGCGAGAGCAGCTGCCACTGCACGCGGCGGCACAGCGTCTGGTTGTACAGTGCGCTCCTGCGCCCGCCGCCCTTCCGCCGCAGCATCTCCGCGCGCCTTCCGCGCGCCTTGGCCACCTTCCGCTCCAGCCGCTCCCGCCGCTCGCGGTTCTCGCGCTGCCGCTGCTCCACAACGGTCGCCGCCACCTGCCGCGCCTGCTCCCACTGCGCCGCCGCGCGCTGTCGCTCCGCCAACAGGCGCGCGTCGCGCTTCGACGACGCGGCGGCGATGCGGTCCGAGAGCGCCTGGAGGAGCTGTGCTGCACGCTCCTGTTCAATTCTGGTAAAAGAGAAGGGAGAACGGGGAGGGTGGCGGAAAATGCGAAGCGGTACGCTTTTAACATGGATTCCTGGCACTATCGAATACAATTGGCTACTATTGGTCCTGATCTTACTGTTCCTGACGAGCGCGTTGCGCAGTGCGCGTGGAAACGAGCGCCAAGTGCTGCGCGCGCTTCTTCTGCCCCGCCGTGAGGATGGCCGCGCGGTTGCTCTGCGCCTTCTCCGCGCGCTCCTCGCGTTGCTGCGCCACGCCCGCAACCCAGGCCTCGAGCCGCTGCTGCGCCGCTGCGCGCACCTGGCGGCGGAGCTGTGCGGACTTGACCTGCTGCTCCCGCTTGCTGCCCTCACGCTCCAGACTGCACGAAACATGGACCGGGGGGGTGACGGCAGGTACAATTCGGTTAATATCATTTCATCTCCTTCTCATCAAACAAAGTGTTGCCATGGTGATATCAGAGATGGTGATACCACGGAGAAACAGGGTATGGTCGACAAACGGTATCTCATGCTTCATACGGTTGTTGAGAATGTGTTTAATGACGGCGAGGCTGACAAAGCCAAACAAGGAACAAGGTAACAAGTTTACGCAACGGTTCCGACATGGACAAACATCGAGTGATTGTTTTCTCTGGACCGATATGTTCACACAATGGTGTATAATGGCAACTGATTCGTTGCTTCAATCGACGTGCCATATCAATTGGTTCATTGCTTTCCACGACGTGCCATGCAACGAATTGACTGATGTCGACGACGACGAACAGCGACTCACCGTTTCTTCTCGGCCGACATGAGCCGCTGCTCCAGGCGACGAGCCATCTCCTCCTGCTGCTGCTCCGTCGCCACCACGTCATCGTCGTCCGTCGTCGCATGGATGTCGCCACTCTCGCCCACGCCACCCGCGTCGACCGCCTGATAGTCGCTTTCCGACTCACTGATAACTGTAGGCAGACCCGCCGAGCTTCCAGAGCCGCCGCTGCTGGTGCTGGTGGTCATTGTGCTGGTGCTGCTACGGCTTGTTCGGCTGCTCCTGCTGCTGATGCTGCTGGGACTGTCACTGAAGAAACTGTCCTTGCCGGAATTGTCGCTGCTGGGGGTATCGCTGCCCGTGTCGTGCCGGCTCTTGCGTTGTTGCGAGGCTCGCGCCTTGCTGGATAGCCATTGGTGAAACTCCTGCAGGCATGGCGCGTAGGAAGCACAAGCTAACGTCAGAATTCTTCGAGCCTTGCAACGAAAGCCTAGGAGAACGTTTTTGGAGAAAAAGGCATGAAAAAAACCAGCATCATGTGGAAAAAAACAGCGCAGATTACTGGCAGGGTGGGTCCGGGAGCACGCGGTACATGGTGGAGAGACGAGGGACCCACCTGGCGGCGCTGGCGAGCTTCCTTGACGGGAAGGTTCGGGGATAGCCGCGACGGGGAGGCTTCAGCCTCGCTCAGCTCTTCCGCAATAGCAGGCGTAGCAGACATCATATGATCCGACACGCACGCCATCTTGCACTGTCAACGCTATACCGACCAGATTTGTTACCGAGACTAACTATATGAAGGTCGACGATTGAAATAAAGCTGTGTCCTAAAACGATCCGAACGGTATTGCTTCGAACTATCCTATCGTCGAGCATGCGACATCCTTGATGGAGACTACTTAGCAAAAGGCAATCATCGCTTCCCGTCTGAGCATTGCTACTCGAATTATGTAGTTATCGAGTACCACTGGTAGAGCAGTCTCTGGCAAGCAAGCATGGATTGGTTTGGACGAGAAGCTTCGGTGCGGTACTTCTGGAGGTCTTTGGCTAGGATGATAAGTTCGGTATGCTTGGGCTAGCTTCTCTGAAATATTGCAGGTTCGTCGTGTTTTGTTGAATTTGACTGCCTGCTTTCGTCAGGTATGGCAGCCGTACCAGATCTGCCGGGGCTGACCGAACGGTATGGTATGGTATCTATGGTCTCATCTCCTCCCGTCCCAGGCCGTCAGCAACAGTCGGTTCAGCGTCACCACATCGACGTCATATGATCACACACGAACATTTCGCCGAGGTTGGTCCGGGAAGCGCAATTTTCGCAATGGTGCTGCCCACATTCGCTGAGTTTGGTCAGGGCTTCTCAGAGAGCGAAGTCTCCAAGGGCTGGGACCTCGATTGTGTGGTGGACGCTGATTTGTTGTTCAACAGCTAGCTCGCGTCGCACCAGCAATCACATGCGGTGCCTCTAACGAGTTGAAACCTTGGGAGCCTCCTCAAAAGAGCACGGGCCGCCTCAAAAAGAGCACGGGCCGCCTCAAAAAGCAGCATTCAATGCAATAAATAAATGCTCATTATCCATCCATAATGTCTTGGCTTGTTTAGAAACCACATTGATACAAACTAAAGTACATGTTCTTCTCTGCGATGAAGGTTTCGTCACTTCAAATGCAGTCAGCCCTACGATCCAAGACTATATTGGTTTATCACTTCTGCTGCGATCAGAATTTGATCGTAACCAGGATCACCTAGGTTCACACACAACTAGGTATCGTCAGCCCCCGGATAGAAGCGCCCCTGGGGGTATAAAAAACACCTTTTTTAGGGGGCGCGCTTATAACTGAGGAATTTTATAAGCGCCGGCGTTTATAAAATTGCAAAAGGGATTTCTATCTGTTTTGTTAGAATTTGAAATGACTGAAAAAGGATCGTATACTTAGGATGGTAGCTTCCTGTTCTAGCGGAAGTCGTTGTATGAGTTAAAGCCATTTGTAAGAGGCTTTGTCTGGACTAATATAAGCCCATTGTTAGAATTGGAACGAATGAATGAGTGAACTATCAAGCAGGTGGGTACAAGTAGGAAACCTAAAAGTGTTGTACCCTATAAGAACTACCCCACTACAACCCAAACAGACTATAGCATATGAGTTCAACACACCTCCATAGGCAAAGTGGGGGAGAACAAGAGGTCACAAGACCAGTCAAGAAAGGCAAAACAAGCTCAGGGTGGATCACAAAGTCACCACGCAGTCTGAGCACAAGCAAATGGTCACAAGGCCAGTTAACATGCAGAGTTATATAAAAGGAGAACAAACAATACAGTGAACACAACCTAGCAAGTGTAAGCATGCAGGTATATGTATATGGAGTACAGTACAAGTAGAGTTAAGAAGTAAGAAAGTGAGGCACAGTAGGTACAAGGCCTAGAACAGTACAGAAACGCTGATGATCACAAGGCTGAAGTGCCTTGGTGAAAACATCAGCAATGTTGGCCTGTGAGGCCACGTAAGCGAGACGAAGCTCGCCACGCTGCTGCAACTCTCGAGCAAGGAAGTAGCGCAGAGAAATGTGCTTCGTTCTGTGCTCCAGTCTGTGCACATGACACAAGGCCAGCATGGCCTTGTTGTCGACGTACAGAACTGGAGGAGAACGAGGCGCCTCTCCCAAGTCGGTTAGCAGGTAGGTGAGCCAGCGTAACTCCAGTGCAGCCATGGCCCCAGCGTAGATATCAGCGTCACAACTGGAGCTGAGAACAGAAGAAGAGCGGGTAGACCGCCAAGAGACAGAACCGGAGCCAAGACTGAAGGTGTAACCCTGTGACGACCGCTGCGTAGCCAAGTCGTCAACCCAGGAAGCGTCTGCGTGACAAGTGAGGACAACTCGAGCCCGTCCTCCAAGCACGAGCCCCATGCCCGACGTACTGCACAGGTAGCGCAACACCCTCTTCCCAGCATCCTAGTGCACCTTTCGGTGTCGACCGGGAGCCACGTAGCGAGCCAGAAGGCTGAGAGGGTATGCAAGGTCAGGTCGTGTGCAAGTCATCAGGTACATGAGGCAGCCCACAAGCTCTGGATACGGGCCACTCGGCTCTACGGACTCGTCCGAAGGTGGAGCTGAGAGCGAGTGACCGGTAGGCAGAGGAGTGGACTGTGGCGAGGAGTACGTGAAGCCGAAGCGCTGAAGGACCTGCTGCACCATGTGTGACTGAGTCAAGGTAATGGTGCGCTGTGCTCTGTCCCGGGTGATCCGCAAGCCAAGATATCTTGTCAGTTCACCCAGGTCTGTGCACGTGTGCCTCTTCTGCAGCTCGGACTTCACATGGGCGAGTGCCTCAGTGTCAGCAGTAGCAAAAACGAGGTCGTCTATGTACACGAGAACGTAGAACGGAGGCAGAGTGGTGTCAATGCGTAGAAACAGTGAAGGGTCAGAAGTGGAAGGAGCAAAACCAAGAGTAGCAAGAGTTGTCCTCACTGTGTCGTGCCACTCACGGGGTGCCTGGCGGAGACCGTAGACTGGCCACCGGAGGCTCCACTGGGTACCAGCAGGAAACGACCCAGTGAAGCCAGGTGGGCGGCGCAGCCAGATCTCCTCGTGCAGGCTGCCTTGTAGGAAGGCTGTGCTGAAGTCAAGCGAGTGGAGCTCGTAGTCACGGTGAGCAGCGACGTGCAGCAGTACTCGAAGAGTGGTCATCTTCGGGGTAGGGGAGAAGGTCTGGAAGAAGTCAACTCCCTGTCGCTGACAGAAGCCTCTAGCAACGTAACGCGCCTTGAAGACAGGCGGAGAACCCGGCGGCCGCTTCACCCTGAAGATCCACATGCCACTGACGATGTTCGCCCCAGGCGGGGGAACCTCGTCGACGTAGGTGCCTGTGGACTTCCAGGAAGCCATCTCGACGTCCATGGCTGCCTGCCACTGAGAGGAGAAGGGACCCTCTATCGCCTCTGCGTAAGAGCGCGGGATCGGGATGTCTGGTGCATCCGGGTCTCCCTCAGGGGCAAGCAGCATGGACACGAGATGAGGTACAGCAGCGGCAAAGCACTCAAACTCCACCTGCCTGTCCTCAAGAACGTCCGTGCCAAGAGCACACTCACCCCAGACGGACGGAGGACAGACAGACGCAGACGCAGACTCAGCAACAAGACTAGTGGCGTAGTCTAGGCGACAGGGTGCAGCAAAGTCAACAAGCTCAGCAACAAGAGCAGACGCAGCAGTGGACTTAAACAAAGGGTCAGTGACAGCAGTGGCCAGAAAGCGCGTGACAGCAGGACTGGCAGCACGAAGGGAGTAAGACTCAGGGGCCGGACCGTCAAGAAGAGAGGACGCAGGAGGAGACAGCAGAGGGACATGCTGTGGAGCAGTGGAAGGACGCAGAGTCATAGAATGAGTGCCAGGGATAGGAGGAGGACGCGGACGCGAAACACGACGACCAGCGCGAACAGTACGGACAGGCGACACAGAACGAGACTCAGGTGACGCAGGACGAGACTTAGGCGACACAGGACATGACTCAGGCTCACGACGCTCCGTAAGACCTCTAGTCGGTCCAGAGTAAGAAGAAGGACCAGGCAGGGGAGAGGCCGGCTGTAACTGCGACTGTGACTGGACAGGCGGTGGACTCAGTAAGGGAGGAGTAGGACCAGTAGAAGGCGGGAGACCAAGAACCTGCTGAAGGAGCGGAACGTAGTACGGCCGCGGCCGCGCAGCGCCTCCAGAAACAGCAGAGACAGCACCAGTACCCTAAGCTCCAGGGTCTCCAGCTACAACTCCCGCAGCACCACCAACTCTAGTACCGGCAGCGCCACCGCCTTCAGCACCACCAGCCCCAGCAGCTCCAGTACCTCCAGTACGAGCACCTCCAGGACCTGCGGCTCCAGCACCAGCAGCTCCAGTACCAGCAGCACCTCCAGCAGCTCCAGCACCAGCAGCACCTCCAGCTGCTCCAGCACCAGTAGTACCTCCAGCAGCTCCAGCACCAGCAGCACACCCAGGAGGTCCAGCACCAGTAGCACCTCCAGCAGCTCCAGCAGCACCTCCAGTAGCTCCAGTAGCACCTCCAGCAGCTCCAGCAGTACCGCGACAGCGCCGAGCGTACCACTCACGAAGCTGCTGCGGAGAGAGGGGCTCCCGCCGTGACGGGACACCCGGAGAACCTCCTGACTCAGCACGCGCAGGCTCAGCACCCCCAGACGCAGTACCCCTAGGCTCCACACACTCAGGCTCAGCACCCCCAGGCTTAGCACGCCCAGAATCAGCACCCCAAGACTCAGCACCCCCAGGCTCCACACGCTCAGGCTCAGCACCCCCAGGCTCCGCACCCCCAGTCCCCGCACCCGCAGGCTCAGCACCCCTAGCAATACCTGAGTCGACAGCTACCTCGACCGGCTCGGCAGGGTCTACCTGGGACAAACCTGAGGGGGAAGGACCCTGAGGGGGGAGGGGGTCTACCGGAGGAATACCTGGTGCTCGGAAGAGTGGCGGGGGGGGGGGGGAGAGAGGCAGTGCGGTAGGGAAAGAGACGGTAGTAAGACACCGACTCGTCAAACGTGACGTCCTGAGAGGACAGAACACGACGCGATGTGGGGTGGTAGAACTGCCACCCGGGGGCGTCAGGGGGAAGCCAAGGAAGACGCAGGGAACGGCACGAGAGGACAGCTTGTCCGCTGAAGTATCCCGGACAAAAGCTCGAGATCCCCAGACACGGAACGCGGACGCATCGCCAACCTTGCCCGTCCACCTCAGAGTAGGTGTGGT